AAAAAAAAAAAAAAACAAAAAAAACACTGTTCTCAAGGTCACAGCAGCCTCCACAATGCCAAGCAAATTCCCAGTCCTCTTCTGGCTTCATCCCTCAGTAGCACAGATGTGGTCATCACTCAGTTTTTCCTTTACTGGATCTCTAGGGCACTGCTCTTTCTTGGTTCTCCTCCTGCTCATTGATTGCTTCGTCTTCCCGACTTTTCAGTGTTAGACTGCTGCCGGGCTCAGTCGTTGAACCTCTTCTCTTTCTGTATCACTCCACTGGTGATCTTACAGCTTTCTATGCTATCTGTGTGCTCTTAACTCCTAGAAGTGGCAGGCACATAGTTAAGTGCTCAGAATTATTTGTCGAATGAAGGTTTTGGCGTTATATTAATAAAGTTCCAAAGTAACTGTTTTGATTTTTGTTTTTGCAGCTCAAATTGGTCCTCCAGAAGTACATTTAGAAGCGGAAGATAAGGCAATAGTGACATACATGTCTCCTCCTGGAACAGAAGATAGTGTCATGTGGGCTTTGGATCGTCCAAGCTTTACATATAGCTTAGTTATCTGGAAAAACTCTTCAAGTGTAGAAGTAAGCATTGTTTTTACCTTTGTTTAATCGCTGTGAGAGAAAAATTAGGTGAATTAATCCTAAAATTTGACTTTATACTTTTTTAAAGAAGCAACTTATATTTTTATTATAGGAAAGGATTCAAAATATTTATTCCAGACATAAAATTTCTAAACTCTCACCAGAGACGACTTATTGTTTAAAAGTTAAAGCAGCACTACTTACGTCACGGAAAATTGGTGTCTATAGTCCAGTGCATTGTATAAAGACCACAGGTAAGGAAGGTGTTTTGTTTTCGTTTCAATAAGTATATATACAAATTGTCAATTTTGGCATCTTTCCCATATTGCTGAAGTTTACATGATAGGTTGGTACATGTTTAAAACATTGTAACATTTACATAAGCAAAATAAATGTTATTTGGGATTTTTGTCTCAAATAGTAATGAAAATTAATTCTACTTAAAAGTTCAGGCTGGGCGTAGTGGCCCACGCCTGTAATCCCAACACTTTGGGAGACTGAGGTAGACGGATCACTTGAAGCCAGAAGTTCGAGAACAGCCTGACCAACATGGGAAAACCCCGTGTCTACTAAAAATAAAAAGCTGGGCGTGATGGCATCCGCCTGTCGTCGTAGCTACTTGGAGGCTGAGGCACAAGAATCCCTTGAACCTGGGAGGTGGAAGTTACAGTGAGCCAAAATCGCACCATTGCACTCCAGTGGGGAGCAAGTCGGACAAAGAGTAAGACTCCTTCTTAGAAAAAAAAAAGTTCAAATATTTTGTAATGACAAAACTTTTCATTTGTTCAGAATCCACATAAAGCGGAAGGTAGCTGAATATGAGTTCTGCAAATGGGAAGAAAAGAGGGGGAAGTAGTTGCTAGTAGACAAGTTATTCTTCCAGCAAGCATACCTTTGTACATGGGATGTTAAAATAGGAAAGCATCCTGATATATTTAGTCAGTAACATCTTTCCAATAATTAAGGTCAGGGACAGGAGCTGGGATTTGTATATTTTAATTGTAAATGTCATCTGCTTTATTTTTTTAATCAAACATTACAGAAGGGTTTAAAGTGAAGTCTTTTCCCCCTCCCTTCTTATCCCCAGTTCCACTCACCAGAGGTAAGCATTGCTTGGCAGTTTGTGTATATCCTTTCACAACTTTTTTTCAGGGCTTATGTAAGCATATATACAGACCCACAGTTTCTTGGGTTTTATTTTTTAAATTACAAAATAAAATCTTACTAGTTGTACTTTACAGCTTGCTTACTTAACCCAGTTTGTTGGGGATATCATTCTATATCAGTCAATACAGATCTGTTACATTCTTCATTTGATCTTAGCCATCTGTTGCATTCTTTTTTTTTCTTTTTTTTTTTTTTTTTTTTGAGACAAGGTCTCACTCTGTTGCCCAGACTGGAGTGCAGTGGCTCAATCTCGGCTCACTGCAACCTCTGCCTCCCAGGTTCATGCGATTCTCCTGCCTCAGCCTCCCAAGTAGCTGGGGTGTGCCATCATGCCCGGCAAATTTTTGTATTTTTAGTAGAAACGGGGTTTCACCATGTTGACCAGGTGGGTCTTGAACTCCTGACCTCAGGTAATCCATCCACCTCAGCCTCCCAAATTGCTGGGATTACAGGTGTGAGCCACTGCGCCTGGCCTGTCGTCTTTCAAATGGCTGCATAGTATTACACAGTGTGAATACAAACCGTCCTTAACTATTACCTTATAATGATAAAATGTGAGCCTTTATCTTCTTGCCAGTTATCTCACTTGAGTAAAAACGTATGCTTTTTTTTAATCTGTTCTTTGGCTTCTAGTTGAAAATGAACTACCTCCACCAGAAAATGTAGAAGTCATTGTTCAAAATCAGAACTATATTCTTAAGTGGGATTATACGTATGCAAACATGAGCTTTCAAGTTCAGTGGCTCCCGTAAGTTCTATTCTATAAATTTCCTTTTGCCCAGTTTGTTTTGATTATGCTTCTTTTCACTCTGCTTCAGTCACCAGGTCCTTGCACACAGAATGACCGACTGGGAGGTGGGTACGATATATTGGAAACATGAGAAATCTCATTTCTAACCCCAGTTCAGCCAGTAACTAACTGGATGACATTGAGCTAATCGCTTAACCTCCATGGGCCTCAATTTCTTCACTTGTAAAATAGATGGATTCTAATATCTGGGGTTCTTACTGGCTTAAGAAAAAAACAAAAATGTGACTAGTTGGGTGTGTTATTTCCGCAATCTGGAACACTTGACACTTGACCCTGATGTTTTTCTTAAGAACTCTCTTCTTCCATGAGTCCTTAAAATGATCTCAGTCCACTTACTTGTTCAATCCAAAAAATTAGCCTTCCTCATTTCTTTATTACTTCGGTGGTTTTGACAAAATTTTGTAGTAGTTACTTCGGTGGGAAAGAAAGTTGGAAAAAACTGTGTTCTATGTGGTTGAGCAGAGGCTAGCTAAACACAGATGAAGTCTAGGCACTGCATAAATGAAAGAGAACTGGCCTGGTGCAGTGGCGCATGCCTATAGTCCCAGCTACTCAGTGGGCTGAGGCAGGAGGATTACTTGAGGCCAGGAATTGAGGCTGCAGTGTGCTATGATCACACCTGCAAGTAGCCGCTGCACTGCAGCCTGGGCAACATAGTGAGACCCCCATCTCTAAACATTAAAATTTTAACAAAACTGATAAAAGAGAACTGCATGTAGTTTATACTGATTGGAAGATTGTAGGAGATGAATAGAGAGAAAAAAGAGAAGAGGAAAATTAAGTAGAAGGAAAAGTGGGTTATGGGGAGAAAAGAAATGGAAAGAAAGATATACATTGGTGGCAGAGGAGTAGAGAGCAAAGGCAAGTATAGCTAAGACAGGAAAGGAAAAGTCAGAAGAAACTAGAAAGAAACAAAAAAAATGAGGGAGAAGGGAAGTGTTAGTACTGCTATGATCAATTTCTCTCTCTCTTTTAGTGTTCATTTTGAACCAAGGGTGACCAGTAGAATGGAAATGCATTTATGTGCATATGTGTCCCACAGTGCATATATAACCTCACAAACCAATCAGGAGACTGTTCAGTAATCTTTTGTGTATACCTAACTTTCAGAAGTGAATAAATAATAGGGTCACCAAATAGATAATGAGCGGTATTTCTGATGGCTGATCTCTAAGCTGCTTTGGGGCACTTAGCATATTGTACAAAGCACTGAAGAAATGGAAAGAGTCAACAGAATCACACATGGTTCTAGAAATCGAAAGCAGTTAGCGGACATTGCAAAGTGTTGTATGGTTTCAGACTAAAGAGTGGTATACAAATTATAAGGGTTGCAGAAATTGAAAATGTAAAGGTGAATAGGGGCTGAAGAGACCAAAGAAGCCATAAGAAAAGAGATGAGGTAGGAACAAGGCCTTGATTGTTAATTCCGATTTTTTTCAGATAGACAAGTATTAGATGTTTTCTGTTTCTGTAACAAATTACCACAGACTTAGCAACTTAAACAGCTATTTATTGTCTCAAAGTTTCTGTGACTCAGGAGTCCAAGCGTGGCTTAGCTGGGTCTTCTGCTAAGCAGTCAAGGAGTCAAGGAGTCAGTCAGTCATACAAGACTCGGGGGCTGCTCCCAAGCTCACATGTTGTTGGCAGAATTTATTTCTAGAACTCATAGTGGCTCACTTCGTAAGAGACTATCAGGGAGGGAGAGTCTGACCTCTAGATCCTTTTTTTTTTTTTTTTTTT